GCCACGGTGTCGGGATACCACAGCCACGGTGTCGGGATAACACAGCCACAATGTCTGGATACCACAGCCACGGCGTCGGGAGAACACAGCCACGGCATCAGGATAACACAGCCACAATGTTTGGATACCACAGCCACGGCGTCGGGAGAACACAGCCACGGTGTCGGGAGAACACAGCCACGGTGTCGGGATACCACAGCCACGGTGTCGGGGTAACACAGCCACAATGTCTGGATACCACAGCCACGGTGTCGGGATACCACAGCCACGGCATCAGGATAACACAGCCACAATGTTTGGATACCACAGCCACGGCGTCGGGAGAACACAGCCACGGTGTCGGGATAACACAGTCACGGTGTCAGGAGAGTGCACCAGCTGCCGCCGAGCAGCTGCGGGTGGCTGTGAGGAGCGCCTCAGGTCCTCAGGTCCTGGGACGTCTGGATCTTGACCCCATCCATGTCCCTTTCTTGGTGCGACGTTGACCTTTGTTCCTCGTGATGTCACCATGAGAGGAAATGTGACGGTTACAGAGGGTCTCTCTAGGCTTGGTTCTTTTTATTTTTTTTGGAGACGGAATCTCACTCTGTCGCCAGGCTGGAGTGCAGTGGCGCGATCTCAGCTCATGCAACCTCCACTTCCCAGGTTCAAGTGGTTCTCCCGCCTCAACCTCCTGAGTAGCTGGGATTACAGGCATGCACCACCATGCCCAGTTAATTTTTGTGTTTTTTTTTTTTTTTTTTTAGTAGAGACGGGGTTTCACCTTCTTGGCCAGGATGGTCTCCTCCTCTTGCTCTCGTAATCCACCCACCTTGGCTTCCCAAAGTGCTGGGATTACAGGCGTGAGCCACCGCGCCTGGGCTACAGTTGTTTCTTACAACTGCAGTGTGAATTCACAATTTTCTCAAAATAAGTTTAATTAGAGAAAAACAACAACAAATCCAAGAAGCCGCCTCCCTAAACACTTCATTAACTGCATTGATAGAAACAAATCACTCACTACATATCAAGGTCTGCCAGTTAGAGCCAGATACCGGGACCTCAGACACCTCAGTGTAACTCGATTACAACTGAGTTAGGAGACCGTCTGGCTCAC